TATCACTGACAGAGGTCTTTACTGCTATAAGATAATGCCCTTCGAGTTGAAAAATGCCGGGGCCACCTACTAAAGACTTGTTAATAGAATGTTTGTAGACCTCATCGGTTAGACAATGGAAGTCTACGTTGATGATATGCTTGTGAAAAGCCTGAAGGTAGATGACCATGTGATGTACTTGGATAACACCTTTTGAATCCTCAAGAGGTATAGGATGAAGCTCGACCCCCTGAAGTGTGCCTTTGGTGTTGCCTCTGGCAAGTTCCTGGGGTACATGGTCAACCAAAGAGGAATCGAAGCCAACCCTGAAAAGATCAATGCCTTACTAAAAATGAGATCACTCTAGAAATTGAAAGAAGTCCAAAGCCTAACGGGACAGGTGGTGACCCTCAACCGCTTTGTCTCCATGGCCACCGATAAATGCCTCCCGGTCTTTAAGGTATTAAAAGTCGGGAAGAAGTTCGAATAGAATGAGGAGTATGAAGAGGCCTTCTAGGGCCTGAAAAGGCACCTAGGGCAGGCCCCCACCTCTCCAAGCCTAAGCCCGATGACATTCTCCGACTATATCTAGCCATCTCCAATGAGGCCATCAAAGCGGTCCTAACCTGATAGGAAGAAACCACCCAACTCCCCGTTTATTATACCAGCAAGATACTCCTATCTTCGGAAACTCGCTATCCCAATGTGGAGAAGCTAGCCTTAGCCTTAATCACAGCCTCTAGGAAGCTGAGGCCCTACTTTCAAGCACACACCATTCATGTGCTGACCAACTTCCCTTTGAGGCAAGTACTATAGAAACCAGATGCTTCAGGAAGACTACTAAAATGGGCAGTGGAGCTAAGTGAATTCAACATTATCTTTAAAACAAGGGCAACCATCAAGGATCAAGCTTTAGCTGATTTTGTAGCAGAGTTTGCCAATGTACCCGAGGTGGAAGAGGTTATGGAACATGTTGAGCCCACCACGTGGGACCTGTTCGTGGACGGTTCGGCTGGAGACACAGGTTCGGGAGTTGGAGTAGTCCTTGTCAGCCCGGAAGGTCACAAACTGAACTCAGCTTTGAGGTTCAAATTTAAGGCTACCAACAACGCTGCTAAATATGAGGTGCTTCTCGCCAGCCTCAGATTAGCCAAAGAAATGCAAGTAAGGAGACTACGTATCAACAGTGACTCCCAGCTGGTGGTAAGCCAAGTGAACGATAGTTTTTCAGCTAGGGATAAAACCATAACCTCCTACTTGAAGATGATGATGAACCTCCTCCATTTTTTGAAAAATTCGAAATAATACAGATCCCTCGCCTCGAGAACTTCACAAGCCTCGGCTACTTCAATCAACTTACCGCCTCGGCTTCTTCTTTTGCTTCCTCATAGTGCAGTCACCTTTTTCGACCACAGCAACACCACCACTTTCAACTCCAACCAAGATATAAATATCTATACTTGGATTTGGGGGACTATTAGCTAAGGTACAAAAAATTTCTCAATTTTTACCCCACACCCTTCGCCATAATAAAAGTCCACGCATTACATAAAATGACCATACTTGGACTTGCGGGACTATTGTTACGTGTTAACACACTTGGCCGACCCACTGGGGCCCATGGTCCACTTCTGTTGAACTACGTGACATCCCATCCAAGGCCCCATCCCAACAAGAACACACTAGCTATTATAACAGCACCAGGCGTGGTTCAAGTGCTACCACCAAAGCTAATACACCGAGGAGATCTCCTAGCCGAGGCCCTTCTTACCTGAGGCCATTCTATCCGAAGTCCTGAGGCTGTCAGCAGCACTGCTCCCCAGGGATCCGATCTTACACAAGGATTGCTGAGTGATTGTTGGGACACCCATCATAGAGCACAAGTGCCTTGTCTTGTCAATATAGTGGCAGAGCCGCCAATTAATTAATGTGTAACAGGCTAGGAAGTCAAATGTGACATCTATAATTTGATAGATAAACTTACAAGATGAGACCATGCGTTCTCCCAATCAAATGTCACGATCTAAGTTGTAATACTATAAATACTATCCATGTATCTCTCACAAGGATAATACAAGAATCAATACAAGAAACAACACTTTACTCAATTCTCTCTTATTATCTTGCAACACAATACAAGTTTACACATTTTCACATATACATTTGCAAATATCGATTGGTAATTATTGTACAATCGGTCTACGAACATCTCGCCGGATTCCGAACATTCTCGTCCCGCACCGTTGAGCTGCTCCCACGCTCTTGATCTGTCCGTTTTAAACCGTCCACGTGTCTTTGCGTGTTGAATTTTCGCTTACGTGTGTGCAAGTGGGTCCGGCATCTCTTGACAACATTTTCTGGGGTCAACACTAAGCATCAATACAAACTCTTCCTATTTTCATAATTATTTCAAATGCTATTAGTTAACTATCAATGAAAGCACTACAAAACTATTAACAATCAACTACTCAGAAGCAGTAATGGGAATATATATTTCCAAATCAGTAAAAACAAAGGCCAAAGCAACGAATATATTTCCAAATCAGTAAAGGTGCTACAAATCACAAATATATTTCCAAATTCAATGTAATGAGAATCTGAAATACATTTACAATCAACAGAAGCATAGGCCAAAGCAAAATTAACTGATTAGACAGGAACTAGAAGCATGCAAAACTGTTACTAACCTTTGGAGGCAGTAGCGGTGGTTGACTAGCGAACCTATATGAAGCACTGGGAGAGTCAGCAGCAAAAAGGTCACTCAGTTTTGCTATTTTGCAAGTTCTTCAGTTAGTCAACAGCGATCAGTGGCTGAATCGAAATCGCAGGACTGTTGGAGGTTGAATCCAGAGCGGGTTCTAATTTTCTATAATCAAAATCGCAAGATGTTTAATTCTCAAGGGCAATGGGCGATGAGTTCTTCTACTCAGTACAATGGATTTCGCAAACTTAATATTTGATTTATAAAAAACAAAAAAAATGTTGAAAGTTGGTGGATCAGGTAACCCACAGAATTCCCTATGGGTCCGCCACTGCTTCTACACGTTTTCTAGTGCAAGCAAAGGAGTTTCTATTTTGTTGAGGCACGAAAACTTTAGCATCGCTCAAAATATATGCTTATACAAATTTGTTTTGACCATGCTTATATGTATTTGACCTCTTAAAAATAATGAAGTGATTAATTAATTAATTTTTTATTTTTTCATTTTACAATAGCTTTCTTCCAAGTATTATTATAATAATTTGACTTTTTATCGTAATAATATATTGCTACAAAAAACCTACATAAATAGCACTTTATTTATTATTCTAGATTGAATAAATTGGACATTTTCATTGTATCGGGAAAATTACTTGGTGCATGTTTGATATAATTATATAAGGTGGATGAATCTTAGCCTCTCGTTTGACTCACATTAAAACTCATTAATTCCCATTATTTGCCAAGTTTTCAAACAAAAGCGGGCCCTATGTGTCAAATTGTTCAAAACGTATGTATACCATGAAAGGAAAATGTTTTCATTAATAATGGAGGGTACACTTCACTTTATATGCCTAAATGATGGTCATACTCTACAAACCACTAACCAATGGAAATGTGGATATGGGTGACTAAATAAGGGGTAACTTTATCTTCTGACATTTATGTTCGAGGGTGTGTTTGTCCAACTATTTCAACGGTCCAATTGACTGAAATAAACTATTATCAATGGATGAGAAAAGTGAAAGACATGAGCCCCCACTTGTGTCAAAAAAGGTGGGTTAAAAAGTGGCAATAAAAATAATTTAATGAGTTTTAAAGGGGGACAAACATGTGCCAAACAAGGGATAAGATGCTTAGTTTACTTAACTAGAAAGAATAACAAATCCAATCATTTTTTGCTGTTTTAAAAATAAAAAAAATTTGTTAGAAAAAACTTGCCAACAAAATCTATAGTATTTATCCTCAAATAAAATTGTTCAACAAACATTTTTGTCCAATATTAGATGTCCGTAAAAATTATCTTCGATAACCAACAAAGTGAAGACTACTCAATAACCACTCTATGTAGAGTACCCCATGCTAGGCGTCGACCACTTCGAGGCCCTTTACGTCCATATTAGGCCGTCTAGCATTATGAGGCCGTTTACCACTATGAGGCATTCTACGTTTATACTAGATTGTCGATCACTATGAGGTTCTCTAAGTCTATGTCAGGTTGTCTATCATTATGAGACACTCTACCACTATGAGGCCTTCAACGACACATCAGACCGTCGATCGCTATGAGGCTCTTTATGTTTATATTAGGTTGTCTACCACTATGAGGCCCTCTATGTTCATACTAAGTTGTCTATCATTATGATGCCATCTACTACTATGAGGCTCTCTACGTTTATTGGTCGTCTACGTTTATGAGGCCCACTACCACTACGAACAACACTTAATCATAAAAACATTATGGAGTTGGATAGAAATTGTTCAACGATTATCCTAGACACAACCAACCGTTGGATAAGTGGAGGTCATCCACTCAACACGTGGGGTAATAGGATGTGCTACATGGGACACGTGGCACAATAACAGTCCAATAGTTACATGGCTTCATACACCTATAAAATACTCTCAAGGAAGGATAGGTATGTGCCTTGAAGTTTTGGCTATCTGAATATACATTCTATCTTTTCTTCTTAAGTCCAAATTTCTAAATCTTCTGCTAATTCTCACGTCGGAAGTATAACATCTCATTTTATAGGTAACTTTGTTAATGAAAGTAGCCAAAACAACTGGATATGTCAGAGAGCACGGAGATTTGTTTCATAACTATTTCATCGACCCTTTTTTATAAAAACATAAAAAGCAGTTCACAACAAGCATAGCGACACGTGGAATTGTAATGGTTGGAACGAGGAATAAAGGACACGCTTTCGTTTTAAGCAGTACGCATGGGTGGAGGAGTTGGAAGATGGAAATTCTATAAATTCCAGAAACTTCGGGGGAATTCCTGGCTAAGAATTGCCCTAAGCAGCTACCGGCTTAAAATTTGCCACGTCACGTGAGCATCCGACGTGGCACCGTCATTCCACTGAAATTCATACGCCCTTCTTTTAGGCACTTTCCGCTTAAACTCTCATAAAAACTCGCTCTTGAGCGATCGCAAGTCCTTGAAGAATAGAAATTTTGCAGAAAAACCTGAAAACAAATTTATTGAAGGAATTAATTTTAATAGTTTTTTTTTAGCTTTTTTTAGGGGGAAATGAATGGGGATAGGAAAGGATTTGAAGAAGATGTGAAAATGGAGAAATTGGTGTTCATGTGGGGGTATTTGCCGGGGGCATTGCCTCAGAGGTTGCCACTACTGTCCCCAGTGGTGGTGCGGCTACCGCCGTCGAGTAGCGTCGGAACTTCCTGGAAGGATGTCTGTGGTGGTGGTTGTGGTTTTGCCATGGCCATTTCAGGTAATTTCTTCGTCTTTTTTCTTTTTCTGGTTCCCTTTCCCCCATACCGTATTTTAGTTGGTTTGACTTGGAGTGCTTCTTTTTCCTCTTCCTTGAACCCGAAAGTGTAAATTTTGAGTTAATTTTTTGCATTTTTTACTTGTTGCATTGGAGTGAAGTTTTGCTTCAAACAATTGATGTTTTTGCTTTCTGGTTATTGAAATTCTTTCTTCAAAGTGTCCTGGAACAGTCAATTGCTCCACGGAGCTTGTCAAGATTTTGTTTTGTTTTCAATTTCTGTTACTTAAAATCTTCCCTGTTTCTATACTCTTGCTTGGACTATTTGCCTCCGCTTGCTTATCAGTTGGAACATTATTGGCACTTCCAAATCTTTGCTTTAGAGATTTATCTTTTTCTTCTCCGCTTTTTCATATTCAAGTTGACGTATTGTAGTTTTCTTTAGAGCAATTGAATTTTCTTTAAGTTATGGCAACCTTTGCAATAAAAATTGGAATATAGCTTTCAAGGATTAATTTTTCAGCAAAAGAAGTTCTGTTATCAACATGTACTGTTCTTCAATTTTGAAATGACATTCGTAAAGTATTGCTTTTGCTTCTTGAAATGAAATGTTACCGGACTTGGACCTATGGAATGCTTATTTTTTGGATGAAAAATGAAAAAATAAAAAATAAAATTGAGTGATTTATTTACTATCTAGACTAAAATTCTTATGATGGCTGATTTAGTATGAAATATTTGAATTTCACTGCGTTTGAAGTTATATAGCTCTCGTAATTTTCTAAATTGCTATTGGCAGACTCTGGAAAGCTGATTACTTGGGGCTCAACAGATGATTTAGGTCAAAGCTTTGTGACATCTGGGAAACATGGGGTAGTGCTACTTGACATGATAATCTGATTTATCTAGTTGCATGTTCAATTTCTTTTTTATGACCTACTTTTTCCGCTGATTTTGTAAGGAAAAACCAGAGCCTTTTCCACTTCCTACTGAGACCCCAATAGTGAAAGCTGCTGCCTGTTGGGCGCACTGTGTTGCCATAACGGGTATTGCTGATCTGATTTTCACTGTTTCAATCAAAATTAAATCCACACCTCTTCCTCTGATTTTGTTAACAAAAGATTATTGCTTTACTGCATCTTCTTGTGCATATGTTTCTGGCATTCTTGAACTAAATCAAGTTCAATTGTCAAATGCAGAGAGTGGGGAAGTTTACACTTGGGGATGGAAAGAGTGTGTTCCCTCTGGAAAGGTATTTGGGAGCCCATCAATTGGGTTAAGCATAGAGAAGGATGTATTTGAGAAACAGAGTTTATTGACTGAGCAAGGTATATGCTGTCTGGCCTATGTGTAAGTGATTTACAAAGTCTTGTATGGAAATTTTATGCAGACTAATATGTTGAAGAGTGACTGTTTCAGTGAGTCCTCGTTCCCAGGGATCAAGAACCAGTGGTGGAACCCTCTTTGGTAGTGACAGTAGAGGCGGGGACAAGACTACAAAGCGGAGAAGGGGATCACCAGCTAAGCACTCAGCTGAAAGCTCATCATCAGGTGATGAAACTCTTTCAGCATTGCCATGTTTAGTAACATTTAACCCAGGAGTAAGGATTACCACTGTTGCTGCTGGTGGACGGCATACACTTGCGTTGTCAGGTAAGTCATTTTGTGACCTTGTTCTATTGCAACATACCACTTCAAGCTCTCAAAAGTTCAAAAGCAGGATATATATATCTTATCATTTCTTGGAAGTTTCAGATATAGGACAGGTGTGGGGTTGGGGATACGGAGGTGAAGGGCAGCTGGGATTGGGTTCTCGAATCCGAATGGTGTCCTTTCCACATCCTGTACCCTGCATTGATTCCTCTTTCACCAGGGATCACTCTATGAAACTTTCTCGTGGGAGCAGGGGTTCAGACGGTCAAGGTTTTAGAGTTCCTGGAAATTATATTAAAGGAATTGCATGTGGTGGAAGACACAGTGCGGTAATTACGGGTAGGGGTTTCACCTTTCTGTCAGATGTCTGATGCTCTGAGTTGTACAATAGTTTGATGAGCTAATACAATTAGTGAATACTGATCATCTTTAGGTCGCAGTCAGCAAGACTGATTATGCTTCAAAATCTCTTTCTGCTTTATTTGACTGCTATCTGTTTAATTATGTTGTGTACTTCCGAGAAATCTCTTATTATATTGCTAAATGTTCAATCTATCAACTTGGATCTTTGGATGTAATTTTTGTTGAGAACAGATGCTGGAGCACTTTTAACCTTCGGCTGGGGATCATATGGACAGGTGATTGTCCCCATAATACTCTATGAGTTTCACTTCATCTGGTTTGTATTACACTTTCTATTATCATAGCTTCAATTGATGAGATAACATGTGAAGGTCCCAAGTTCTGATTCACCTGCATGTTAAGGTAGTCCTTGAAGTTAATCTTAATGTGGCGTTGAATGATAAATCGAAAGAGTGATATGAACAAAATCTATTATTTAATTGAGCATAATTTTTGTTAATTTTGTTCAATATTTCATTGCGGCTCTTTTATCCCTTACTATATATATATTGTTGCCCGTTACTTCAGAAATCAAAATTCACTCTGCTTCCAGTCAAATGAGTGCTATACTTATGTTAATTGACATTCGTAGTTAAAATAAAGGAAAAGGAGAACCTTCCCAAGAGTTCACAGAAACTGTCTTAGTCAGGCACTTTACTTGTAGCTCTTGATGTATTAACCTATATAATGCTGTATACTTCTGATGGAGTACCAAAAGGACGATTAATAGAAATAGAAGAAAGATTAAGAAAGAATGGAGAATTAAGGGAGGGGATAGAAGAAGAATTCAATAGAAGAAGGGGAGGGATGCGCCATAAGCCACCAAAATAATTATTCCTTCCTCATCAACTGAAAATTAGAATGCAAAATAGGTTTAAATAGTAAAGCAACCCTAACGAGCTTGAGCCCGAGCCCATACAAGTCCAAATTTAAATAATAGTCCAAGAAAATAAATAAAGCTTAAATAAAATAAGTAAACGTCGTCTGATGTCCTCATCAACTCTCCCGGGGTGGGAGAAAAACTCGACTCTGTCGAGTTGATAGATAGTATAGGCTGCAGTCAATTTGATACTCCAAATGCTTCAAGTCAAGCCACGGGGGACGATCTTTCTGACGAACCAAGTAACGAGATTCCATAATTGATAGTACTGAAAATTATAGCTTATTTCCAAAAATATGATCTGACCAAGGGGACCGATCTTTCCTTCTAATCAAGTACTGATACTGGACGTCAAATAACCAATACTCATGCACCTCATCTTCAACATTTTCACATAATTGTACATAATGAGGAGCATAAGAAGTACTTCGATTTACCCAACAAACAAGGAAATACTGAATTTTGCCATCAGTGGTCAATACAACACGTTCATCTAAAATAACATCAATTTTATTTTTGTGTGCTGTGATAGATGGTATTAAAGTAGAAATATCAATATAGTCAAATTGGGGGTCCACAAAGTTAGGTAGAAATGGATCATCAAAAGAAGTAATACAGTATTTGTAAGTAATGAAGTCCTCAATATTTAAAGTAGAGTGGTGGCTAAAATGTGATGAAATGGCAATGACATGTGCATTTGAACCAACATGCTTTAAAATTTTAAAAGGACCAGCACTACAAGCTTGCAATATGACATAATCCCCAATATTAAATTCAAAATATTGTTTATGCGAATCAGCTTGAAGTTTATATAATGCATTGCTTGCGTCATGTTGTTTATCGATCTCAATATGCAAGTCATGAAGATGATATACAAATGCTTCAGCTGACAACAACACACTAGCATGCGGGGATATGGGAATAAGTTCTAACGGTCGCCTAGACTTATAACTATGAACAACTTCAAATGGATTTAGACCTAGAGACCGATTCATAGAATTGTTATATGCGATGTGAACAGTTGGGGGGATTGAGTCCCAATTCTCAAGATTTTTCTGTACTAGAGACTGTAATAAATTGTCAAGACTTCGGTTAGCAATTTCGATTTGACCATCAGTTTGACATTGGTCGGTAGTGGAGAATTTCGATTTAGTGCTAACAACAAGCGACTGGATTCTCCAAGGGTGACTAGTGAAATCATCAAACTCTTTGAGTTGGGTAAGGATGTGACATATAACATGTGATCGAGAGTTGTCGGAAACAAGGGGTATAGTTTCTAAAGTCTCGGGAAGGGTCGGGATTCCACTTAAGGAAGTGTCCTCATTATAATCATCAAAATCTTCAAGTTTAGGGCCATATGCTAGATCTTCTAAAGACTTTTCTATTGCATTCTTTCGTTCTTCTATGACTAAGGCTCGGTTAGGACATTTGGAAGAGATGTGGCCAAAATCCTTACAGCTGATGCATAGCAAGTGAGAAGTCTTTGGAGTTTCACAAATTATACCCTTATTTTCCAAAATTGGAGCAACATTAGACGGAGAAGGTTTTATGATAGACTTATGATGAGGCGACGCTAATGAGTTGGGTGAACGACGATGACCACGCTTTTCATATGGAATACTAATAATCAACTCATAATCTCGAGCTAAAGAATAAGCGTGATCAAGAGTAGTGACACCTCGAAGGAAAAGTTCGCGCTTAAGATCATCTCTCAGACCTTGGCTAAACCTACTCAAAGTCATGCTTTCATCCTCAATTAAATGACATTTGGTTCGAAATTCCTCAAATTGCGCGATATACTCAGTCACTAATTGATTTCCTTGTTTAAGGGCATTCGATTGAGTAAGAATTTCAAAATTATCTCGTTCTTGTTTACAAATCTGATCCCTATTCCTACGATCGCGTTGAAAATATTTTTGATCACTTTGTCCACGATGATATTGTCTATTATGAGACGCTTCAGAATTAGTGTCAGTTAAACGAGGGGTTCGCTTAAAATTGCTCAACTTAGCAGCTAGGTTCTTTCTCTCATCACAAGTAGCAGTTATATCTGATTGGACAGTCGATAGGCTAGTGACAAGTTGCGCTAATTGTCTAGTGAGTGCATCAAATTGGGATGGATCCATGGTCAATGTATTGGAAATAGAGATTATAAGACGACCACTATGCAACTACATGCAATGTAATACCAGCTAAATGACGTGTTATGATGAGATCAGTGAACAATACGTGCAAACAATGGAAAATAACTTGTACCATTTTTTTTAATTTAATTTTAAATATTGGGATTAATTAAATCCAAAATAAGCTAATACTGCTAGTACATGTAAAATGGCAAAGCAAGGGTCAACACTAGTCAAATTCTCCAATCAATTTAAGTGAGGAACAATGGAACTCAATTCGGTCACTGGTGTCGATTCGATTAATGGTTTTGACCAAGTGAGGTTTAAGACTAAAATTATCACAAAAACAGCAGCACAAAATTTTAATTGATGCAATTTTAAAAATGAAACAGTAGTATAAACCAATACTAAATAGAAATCAAGGACTCCCTGTTGTTTCGGTTTGATTATTTGTATGCCACTTGATCTGAATTGTCGACTTATAAGCCCCAACTATACTTCTGTTCTTCCCTTCGTGTCCAATGGTTTTAACCTCTGTTGACTGTAACTTGTGCTGGCTCTGGTGTGGACGTAAAACTGAGTGTGGTGACTGTGTCTTTTAGATTGTTGAGATGGACGAGGAAATATATGAGTGTGGTAACTGTGGTGGAAGTGTATGATCTTGGGTTGGTGGTGATGGCCTATGGCGATGAAGCGGTAGTGCTCTGGATGCCTGGGTACAATAGATAATGAAGTGGTAGCGTGATGGTGATTAGAGGCAATGGTAGCAAGAGAGTGGTTGTGAGAGAGGAATCGGGTGAAACTGTGAGATATTTGATGTTAATGGATTGGTTATAATCGGGTTTGATCGGATATTTGGGACTGGGTCAGATGCGAAGGGGTTTGGATCCTGTTATAGAGATGGGCCAGCTCGGGTTAGTGTTTGGAGAGTGGGCTTGAGTCGTAAAGAGTAGGCTGGGTTAGTTGGCTAAATGGGCTTGAATGCTAGGGTTTGGGATTTGTGAAACTACACTACAATTTTTTTTTTATGAGCAGCAGAAAAAAAAAACGAGAAATTTTTTTTTTAGGCGTGAACAGTAATTTTTTTTTATAAGAAACTGACCAAAATACTAAACTAAAATTCTGTGTGAACAGTACCCGCGATGAACAGGAACTCTATTTTTTTTTCAACTAAGACTGACTGTGTGAATAGTACCGCGATGAACAGTAAATTTTTTTTTTTTTCAACTAAGACTGAAAATTGAAGAAGAAAAAAACTGCTGCCTTTACCAAAAGTTCTTTTAGTTCGTGCTGTTCCAATAGATTTTGGAAAGGAAATATGAATAAGTTTTGGATTAAAGTAAAGAAATTACCCATGGTTCGGCTCTGATACCAAATTTGATGCAGTACCAAAAGGATGATGAATAGAAATAGAAGAAAGATTAAGAAAGAATGGGGAATTAAGGGAGGGGATAGAAGAAGAATTCAATAGAAGAAGGGGAGGGATGCGCCATAAGCCACCAAAATAATTATTCCTTCCTCATCAACTGAAAATTAGAATGCAAAATAGGTTTAAATAGTAAAGAAACCTTAACGAGCTTGGGCCCGAGCCCATACAAGTCCAAATTTAAATAATAGTCCAATAAAATAAATAAAACTTAAATAAAATAAGTAAACGTCGTTCGATGTCCTCATCAACTTCACTTTGTTGTATGAGTAGTCTTCGATGTTGAACACGTTCCCTTATGTTAAGTCGGTATATTGTAGTCCTCTCCAATAATAAAATTCCAATTAAGTGCCTGTTTGACAACAATTAAATTATTTTATGGTTTGCTAGAAGATTATTTTCAACCACGCATTCACATAATAAAATATTTTACACTTATACCAAAACTTTTCCTTACTTTAACCATGCATTCTCCCAAAAATCACTATTCAAAACTCTTTTTTTCTACAATAATGGTTGTCAAACAGGCTTTAAGTGTTATCTCCAATGCCCCTCAACCATCACTTTGATATAAATTAAATCTGATTTTTGGCTATTTTGTTTTGATTATGCATCTGTCATGTTGATAATTTTTAACTATATATAGTCCAAGGACTGAAAACAAAAGAGTCAGTTAACCGTCATCAGTCATTCAGATTTCTTGTTATGTATTTGAGGTACCTGTCAAAGAAGTAGGAAGCAAAGTTGGAAGAGATACCATAGTGAACAAAGAAAAATTTCTCCCCTTACTTCGAGATGCTCCCTCCCTTCTTGGTTGGATCAAAGTGGTACCATAAATTTGAACCTATCAATCCTAATATTCTGGAAAAAAACTGATATTTCAAGGTGCAGAGAGCAATCTTCAATGATGTATAATTACCTTAGCCTTAATAAAATAATGGCGAGAGAAATAAAGTGTCCACATCTTAATCCTTCCGTATGATATCTCACTGATGCTAGAAGATGGGAAACATTGGTCAAAGACATAGCAAAGAAGAAACAATGCTGTGTATGTCCAATTAAAAATTTGAAAAACCATGGAGGTGTTCCTACATGGCAGTTCTGCATGGTAATTCCTCAGGATGCACATGGAATGAGAGTCTCCGTGAATGATAGAGCCCGTTTTTAAATCACTTCATCACTTTTCTAAATGAAACAAAATTGTCTATTGTCTTCACCTCCATCATAGTAAATTCTTTCCTCCTAAGTTTTTGGAGATGGTAGTTTCCATGCTGTCATTTGAAATATGACAATCATCAGAAATTTATCATCCCCTCTCCCACCACCCATGTTGGCAATTATTAGAATCCACTTTGCATCCCAAACCAAGGAAAAAAGGCCAATGATGGAGCCTCTTCCCGCAAGACAAACAAGGGTGTATGGGATTATGACAAGGGTGCAAAAAAAATGTGATGGATATGCATTTTCTTTATTCACTTAAATTATAGAAGATGAGTGCATATGCCAGCCAATAGTTGTGTACTTCTAGTTCTAGCTATGACATGAAAAATATTGGTAGTTCAAAGATTAATGTCTTCCATCTTTTTATTTTGCAGTTATCCTTCTTATACTGTAGTTTATTTCACTGTTTCATGTAAGCATGAATTGTAAGTATAAATGGTTTGTTTATGTGATGTAGTGTGGACAAGGAAGTATAGATGATGAGCTAAGTCCTACTTGCGTATCTGCCTTGCTTGGAATTAGGATAGAAGGTGTTGCTGCAGGGCTTTGGCATACTGTCTGCATTTCTGCTGATGGCGACGTATATGCATTTGGCGGGAATCAGTTTGGTCAGTTAGGAACTGGTGCTGATCAAGCCGAGGTACATCCCCAACATTCTTCTTTGGACGCAGAAGATTGTGTAGATGTACTTTGTTAATAAAGGTGACTGTAGTACTTGGAGCATCACACACCAATGGAAGCTTTTCTGAGCATTACCTTGAAAAATGATAATCTTCATGCCTGAACTAGAATTGTTTTTATTGAATTTATGAATTAAAAAAAATTATGGTTTCACATGATTTTGAAGCCGTTCGAACCATATTTTAGACGTGAATAGCCTGTAAGTTCGATTCATTTACTTAATTTGATCCTTTCATCGAATCTCCATCAGACATTTCCGCGACTCGTGGATGCTCCGAGTTTGGAGAATGTGAATGCAAAGTTTGTATCGTGTGGAGCCCGTCACAGTGCTGTAGTCACAGGTATGTCAATCACAGTGCTATAGTCGAAGTTACGCCATTCACTGTGATAATCAAATTTGGATCCTGCAACATCTTAAATACAGTACATTACAACCGTTCCGTGATGCATTAAGTATACTGCTCTCTTTATTAGTAGAGAATAAGCACAAATTATAGGGTAAATCAGTGCAGCAGAGTTATAAGGAGTTAGAAGAAGAGAATTTCGATTGTTGAATATAAAATATAAATAGGAAAATTTATTTTTGCTCTAACAGCTTGAGCTTTAAATGAGGTAGTTCAACATTGCACTAACGTAGATAGAAGTCACTATAATCGTTGTTCAAAATCTCCTAGGTAAGTCTCCATGGAGCTAATAAATGAGGCTTATTGTCAAACTTGACCAATTCTATATGTACCTAATACTCACCACTATGGTGCAGTATTTTGAGCTACTGAAGAGTTTTAGCCAATTCATGAATCCCCTCCTACCCCATCATTGAACACATTGCGACGGTTTGTGATTTGTGAGAAAACATACCGCCTTGAGAAATGGCTAGCATTGTAGATGGTTTCAGCCAACTAATGAGCCTTTGTCCCTCCTACCCCATAATTGATAGCATTGAGATTGTTGTGAAAAACTGATATCACATTGAGAAATAATAACTATCTAGCACTTTACATGGTTAGCCAAACTAATGAACCCTTCCTCTCCTACCCTATTATTTTGTCATATGTTGTTGTGAAAAACCAACAACAAAGCCACTCAAATGCCATATTCATTAGAACGAAGAAGGGTCCAAAGAGGCAAAAAGGGCTGCATAATTCATTTTAGCTCATAATTAAGTCACCACTATAGAGGTTTTTATTTATTTGAAAATAGGATGATCCTGTTTGGGCTGCATTTTAATGTGATTTTGGGAGAAAATGTATTTTGGAATAGTTATTTTTTGGAGAATGTGTGGTTAAAAGATAAGAAAAAGTTTTCGGTATATGTGTAATGTTATTTTATGGAAAAATGTGTTGTTGAAAATGAGTTTTGGAAAAATGTATTGTGGAAATAATGAGCCCAAACAGGGGCTGTGTTTCTTAATCCGAAATTGTTTTTCTTTTTTTTTGCACTGGCAGTCCTTCAAAATAACCAAATATATTTTTTTTTCCATTCATAACACCTGCTTTCTTCTAAATTTGGTCCTGCCTTTCTTGATGGTTCCTTTTCCCTAACTGTTTGCTTTCGTTTTTTTATGAAGATGACAAAATATTTTGCTGGGGATGGAACAAGTATGGTCAGGTATGTGTTTAAACTTCAGAACCTGTTTACATGAATTAAACCTCGAAATAGCCACAACATTTTTCTTATTATTTATCTTTCAATTCAGTTCTTTTCATGGACTAGAATAACCTAAACCATGATTATGTATGCCATAGCCTCCTTCTCTACCTGAAAATGTTTTTTAACCACGAGCAATTTTTCATGAACCAGCTTGGTTTGGGAGATGTGATTGATCGCAATATTCCTACTCAAGTTCCAATTGATGGATTCATTCCAAGAAAAGTTGCATGTGGCTGGTGGCACACTCTTCTGCTTGCTGAATCACCCACTTGAAAGTCTTTTTTCCGATGGCTTGGTCACAATTTTGTTAGGTAGAAGTTTCCTATCAATGGTGTTAACAGGGTTCTAAGTTATATGTATATGTACATACAGTAGCTTAGTATCCACATGTAATCATTCTTTAATCTTAGAGGTCTTTGACGGATCATCTCTATAATCATTGTGATAGATAGAAAATGGTGTGCGGTGGTGAAGATGATGAATCTCCATTGTGTATATTGTATATTCTTATTGTTGCATGTTGTTAAGCTTTCTCATGTATGTAACTGATACTCATTATGCAGTTGTTTATATATGTGATTTACTTGATCATGTTCAATGCATGGTACTAGTCCTGTATAATTATCTTATTGGACATGCCAAGTATTTCATCTGCTACTTGCTCTGTGGGATATTAGTCTTACATTTTTCTATATTTGATGCTTATCTTAATTTGAATCACGTTTAGAAAATCTAGTAGGAGAAAGTGATGTCAAGAGATATAGATTAGAAAATTAGAAAGATGGTACAGGCTTATTTGTGCCGTACATTGAGGGTTCTAGTTTTGTGTAGGGAAAAGATCGAGAGCGAGGAAAGTCTTCTTATCTGTGATTTTAGACGGTTTACTAGTAATTTTTTTTTTTTTTCTCCTTCGTAGTCTATTTTAGTGTTTTTATTTCCTCTGCATCCGGTTGGATTTTCCCCCGATAAGAGGTACTAGAGGTCACGGTTCGATTGCAGCAAAGATCATGATAAGTTGCAAGTTTGATGTGTTGAGTGTTTTGATAGAAAGAATATTTTTAATATCTGGCTTGGTACCGTGCAAAATCACGTTCTCGTGTAACAAGGGCTTTACAAGGCATTATCAGAGAGTAAGAGGCTGAATGAATGGAAGATGCATATCGGAAATTGGAAGTGAAGATGGATAATGCCATTAGATTGACTTTAGGAACGTATAGTGTTTTGAATGAGCGATCTCTTTCTAAGTAATGAAAATGCTTATTTCGTAACATGCATTCTCCATCAAAATACTATTCTAAAATGCATTTTGTGCAAAAAATAGGGTTCAAACATGTTCCAAGTATCTAATAAATAGGTTATATCTAAAAAATAATATTATGAATCGAGAGTGGATAAATGAGGTATCTACTACTTTGTTAGAGATGGCCAATATTAAGACATCAAATGATATTGTGAATGGAGATCAAGTTCTTTTAAAGTCTGAAATGTAGCATGGTAGAAGTATATTGCGAGAAAGGAATTATTGTTAGAGAGAGAATGATCGTTCTCAATCTTGTTTCACAATATACATGATGTTACTATTGTGACATGAAGGGGCATATCAAGAGAAACTGTTAGGAACTTAGGAGTTGAAGAAATATTTTAAAGAAAGGAGGAGTCAAGATCAAGAGATTCAAGAAGCCTCAAATGATATGAACATGTTGATGATGATCATTGTTCCGAAGACAATGTTAAGTTTGTTGTTAATTATAAAAGCCCATAATCTCCTGGATTTAAATTCGATATGTTTGTACCATATGTGCTTGTAAAAGGTATGGGGGTCATGTAACACGTGCAATGTTATGATGACTAATCATGAGAAATTCAAATTAAGGGTATTGATACTGTTTTAGCATACATATATATGCTTTAGTTGCTTTGTACTGTTTCATTGCATGACATTTTAACCTACATTTTTTTACATTGGGTCGTTATCTCATATTGAGTCCAATGAACTTATCTAAAGATCTAATGGTATCAATGACCTTCACTGTTTCGATCTTTTGAAATTGGAGAATTGACCAATCTTTATCTTTAGTTCAACTTCGAGATTTTCATTTTGGAAAAATCTCAATTTTGCTACTCACTCAAGTTTTATCGCTAAAATATTAAAAGAAGCATAATTTATAATGTAATTGGAACAAATGCTTAGTAACTAAGTTGAGATTACTAAAGATGAGCGATCAACCATGTTTTTGAACAAAATACAATCTTAAATTTATTTTTTTTATTCATCCCTTCTTCCTTAGGCATGACCATTTTTCCAAGTAAAAATTTGATTATTTAACGACAATGAACAAATATATCAACTAGAGACTAATGACACTACAAAACTGAAAAACAAATTTGATATGATGTGTCTAAGAAAAATAGGTTTGGACTAGGTTGCTCTGAGAATCATAAATGAGGGACCAATGCAACAGATTTCCTTATTGTGTTCAGTTTTTACTAATGTTGTGGGTTAACAAATTCCTCTCTCGTTTCACTAGTTACAAGTGACTATCGATACAAGCACGATGAACAACACGATAGTTTCTTACGAACAATTTATGTATGCTTACATAATCCACGTGTATATATGGTATTTGTATTTAATAAATTTTTCCAATTTAAATTGGTTGAGATGAGATTAGGATATACTTTTCAAGGAACAACTGGGATTTGCCAAGCGGCTTTATTGAAGTCACAAATTTTGAAAAGTCCTTCCATTTCCGTGTTCATTTTAATTTTTCTTCGTGGACCAGATTGATCTTAATAATTTTCTTTGTAACATACTTGTTGATTGAAGTAAGATTAAGCAATAAACAAGAGACTTTCACTTCACCTTGAGAAAAACACACATGTCGGGCCAAAATTAGTTTGACAACTATATACGTTCTTTCTTTTTCCATTAGATATTTTCTATTTCAAGATAGCTAAGTGTTGTTTATAATTTGTCACACACGAATCTTAAGGAATGTGTGAATAGTAAATAGGTAATAAGTTGTAGATATTATGCAGTTTAAAATTTTCGTTAAACGTGCTCTTATAGTAAGGTATTATAATGGGAGTGATTTTCGTGAAACCTTTTTTCATTACAAATATTGCTAACCTCAAAATCGAAATTAACAAATTTCTTTCACCAAGCCAAAAAAAATCTCATCCTAAACTCGATGAAATTTGCTAAAAAAAAAAAAAAAAAAGAATTGAGAGGGAAATTGACCGTTTGAAAAAGAGTGCAACTTCAATTTTTTTCATTTTATCTCCCTTTTTGCTTAAATTCACGACTATTTAGTATATATAGATATCTGATGAAGTCTAGGGTCATTTAGTCACTTTCTTTAGAGAAACATTGTGATCATTAATTAGTGAGTTTCTAATCGAATTTGTTTCATTTTCACATTTTATTCACCATATCACGTGTTCTGCACTTATTGGTCGTAATGCCATTTTCAAAGATTTATCGTGACTTCAATAACGATTTTGCTTTTGTGAAATAGTTTGCTGAAACAAATATTTGTATTTTTTATCATTCAACAATTTGTGTTCGCATGCATCATGCACTCATCGTTCATAGTCTAGATCAAACATGAGATTTCGTATTACAAGTGTTCGCTGACAGTGACATTGGTTCAGGGTGACCCTCGCTCGATATTGAGTTTAACGAATTTTTTTGACATCCTTAGATAATTAATTCAAATTTTGTTTTCATATTGGAGAAAAATTAAATTATGCTCCAATTTGATTTTGCTAAAAATTAGATTTTTAGTAGATTTTGTTAAAATTTGATAAAATATGTGATTGAAAATTTATTAAAAATAATTGTGAATTTCATAAAATATATGATTAAAAAACTTTTAACTTAAATTTTTATCAATAAAGACATTTCCTTTTTATTGGAGAGACCTTTTGATCATTCACTCTTTCCCTTGTTTGACTAAAGATATTTTTTTGGCGAAGACTAGTATATACATGGAGAGAAGATATCTATGTTGTAATTTGTATAGTTGCTGACTTGCCTATGAAAATAAGGGGGCGTTTGTTTTCCATTTTAATGATGACAAAAATCCATCCCATCCCGAATGAGGTCAAAAAAACTTGTCCCGACGGGTTGGCATCCCCGCCCTCTGAAGAGAAAAAAAATTAAAATTAATTTTATTTTTAGATAATTCATCTGTTAAAAATCTATTTTAAATTTGTATTTTATTCTTTCATAATGGCATAACTCGAAATTTTAAAAAAGTAAAAAAAAATAATAATAATAATAAATAAATAAATATATATATACCTCCAAACGCCTCCACTTAGCAGCGGCGGTCATACTAACGTACGCCGTATGTGTACTCTCCCTAAAGGGTTGCCCCAATTGCGGCTCCACCCCAGTTCCCTACCCTCTTAGCACCACTCCAGACTGCGGTGACCAGTCGTACAAAATCCGGTGCAATGCCACCTCCCTTTTCTTTGACTCCCTCAATAACACTTACCCAATCACTTCCATTTCCCCATCCAATCAACGACTCACCATTGAACCCTCACCTTTCCTCGCCAACACCTGCATCACTACCGATCGGCTCACCTCCAATGGCCTCCAACTCAACTCCTCCGCCCCCTTCAACATCACCAGCAGCAACACCGTCTTCTTCCTCAACTGCCCCATTGGCATCTTAAACTCCCCCTTAAACTGCACCTCCAACAGCCTCTGTCACGTGTACATCAACGGCACGACAAGGAGTGGCTGCGTAAATACGCAGGTGTGTTGTGCGATGCAGGTGGGGGCCTCGGTGACTAGGTACAAGATCGGGTTCAATGACGCTGGTTGCTGGGCGTATAGGAGCTTTGTGAATTTGGATTACAGTTTACCAGTGAGCAGATGGCCAGCGCCTGGAGTGGAGTTGCAGTGGCTTTTGCCCAGAGAGCCCACTTGTGGGGAACTAGGCGGTTGCGATTCGGGATCCACTTGTAGACCCGATCCGAACTCGAATAGTGCGATCAATAGGTGCTTTTGCAACTCCGGGTTGCAATGGGACCCGGTTGTTGGACTGTGTACTAAAGGCGAGTTCTCTCAACTTTGCTTTGCTTCTCTAGTTTCTGGATTATACATATTTTACGGTATTAAAATAAATTGAAGTAACCTCCTGTAAAATATACTCAAGACGAAATAGATTTCATGCATGCTTTTCCGGATTTTTCCATTGTTTACAGTAACAAACTAAGCTTCATTTGTACTAAATTTGGAGTTGGCTGCACAAATCGTTTATTTTTCTTGCGATTTTTTTCACTCTAGTTTTGCAAATGTCTTCTGATTAGCTCGGTTAAATCTAATATGCAGTGAATCAAGATTCCGATGGCCGTGATAAAGATCGAACCGCCCTTATAACAGGTACCTCGTCAATCATATTCTTAGGTGGCTATGACTTTTTATTGGCTTGAAGATCGGCCTACGAATGTGGTTTCGATCCTTCCAGTAAACAAAAGCGTCGTTGCCAAAAACTCCCTTCCTCAACCGTTGAGGAAGAAAGGAACAGGCTAAACAGGAGCCATATAAATGATCTTTTAATCTCTCTCTTGTTTGGGGATTTTTCTAAATGGCTTATGACTATTTATTCTTGGCAAAATGTCTATAATACCTTTAATGAAATGACTTGCCATATTTTGCACAAAATGTTCCAATTTATTGGAATAGTTCCACAATTCTTCTATTTCTCTCATTTCGAATTTTAATATATAGTTCCATCATTTGATATAATAAATTAGCATAATCTGTAATATAATTATCATATAATTCTTTAAGATTATCATATTCCTTAGATGATATATCCATAGTCTCTAGTTGAGAAAAAATATTTTTTTTATTTTTTCTAATAATCTTTCTAACAGATTATCTAATCCTTTAACTGTATAGCCTGACATCATTTAGATAATTTTTTACAAGCTTTATGAATAATAATAACATGGTAGATAAATTTTTTGCAAACATGAAAAGTAATAATCCCTACGATTCTTTCAAGATATTAGAAGAATTCTTTCTAAATTTAACAAAGATAATAATTTTACCTTACTTATGATCTTAAATCTATATTCTTGGAATCGAGTGACCTTCAGGCTCTGAATCTGCAAACTCCTCCCTCAAACGGCTTTTGCCTTAATGGGAATTCTGCTACTTCAGCTTCTTGCCCTCACTGTATCTTTTCTTAGAATTAAGAATAAGAATTTTAAGTAAAGAAAATTCTCTCTTTATTAAAGTAAGAAAGAGATTATCTTCTTCAATCTGTCAAGAATTTATGGGATATGAAGTTTAGAAACTCATATTTTTCTGATATCAAAAGATTGAGATTTTATTTCTATAATGATTTATACAAGATTTCTATTGTATACAAGGGGTTTCCAGAAAAACTGATTTTAAAGAAAGTTTAAGAAAAGAGGATGGTTTCTAACTCGAGATGATTCATTCTTTCCCAAAGACCTTTATTTATACATGACTCAAACTTACTATTATTGATCTATTATATCATTGCATACATCAGAATTTGAAAAAGGCTCACATGCTTCTCTATTCTTTTCCTCATGTGGTCTACATTTTCACATGCGTTTTTTATTTTTTCATCAAAGAGAAATCTTTTCCTCTATTATTGCCTCTTCATCTTTGGCTCCATATGCAGCTGGCTAGATACTTTGGTAGTGGTAGGTCCCTTTTTACTTATCTCCATTCATCTTTTATGTTGAAGAATCAATCTTTTTAATCTTGTCTGCATGTGGGGCACTCCCTCAGTCTGCATGATTCTTAGATTGTTGTAGGACTTCCATTAATTTGATGAGTATCAAATTTCTAGATATATTCTTTCAAAATAGTAGATTTTTTTTTCCATTATTCGTAAGGAGTGTTCATCCTTCATATTGACACAAGCATCTGAGTTTTTTATCATATAAGTTCTTTGCAATGTTGTAAAGAACTTTCATCCCCAAAACTCTCCGAAATTTTATCCATGATTTATTGATTTTTGGCAATGGTTTATTATTTCAACCAACTTCAATCTGAAAATTTCGGCCAACATATCCAATTGTAATAATATGTTCAGCAGGATAGTATATGCTTCCATTCATTTTCTTCCAATTCATAAATGATTTTGGTAAATGATCTATATTCTTCTTCTTTTGATGATAAAGGGGTATCATCATCCTCATCAGTTTTGATCCTGATAACTTTTGTATGTTCATCACCATTTTTTATAGTCACCTTTCGGGGACTTGTTATGTCTCATTTGATATTGTTGGGTCCACTATTGCTTCCTAGCTGTGTACCTGTTTGTATTTTTGAAATTGTACCAATTGGTATTTCCTGTTTGGTATTTAATGACTCGAATTGTGAAATAATATCAACAATTCTATCATTCAATTCTTTGGTATATTTGAAATGAGAATTAGAGATTTCCACCAACAATTTGATATTTTGTTGGATAGATTCTGCCATTTGCTCTAATTGCTCAATTCCAATTTTCATATCTTCTGATTCTTCCAAGAAGAATTTCATTCGTCTGTTGACGTCTATTAATGAATTTTTGATATTATCCATTTCCAAATTTGATATTCCTGCTCAAAAAATCTGCAAGATAGTTATTTATTCCTTTAATATGAATAATATTAAAATTGTAGAATGATAAATATGATTGCCATCTGTGTAACCTTCTATATTGAGGTTCCATAGGTAATTTATTTCTAATAAGTCCTGCAACTTAAGAATTATCAGTTTCAACAATAAATTTTTTAGATAAAAGGAATAATGAAATTTTTTTTATTCCTCTAATAATTGCTAACAATTCTTTTTCATGAGTAGTATAATTTATTTCTGCTTGGTTAAAAGTTCCACTTGATTATCTGCATATTTCATTTAAATCTGTTTTTAATATAACTGCCCAATATTTATCCGAGGCATCAGTATTAACAATTAGATTATCTTTTTCATCTGGTAACCTTAATTTTGGTAAATTTTTACATTCTTCTTTTAATGATTTAACAATTTCAGTATGTTCTTTGTTCCAACCTTTAGTATTTATTTTCCTTAGTAGAATTTGTATCTTATGTCTCTTTTTTTAGAGATTTTCAATAAATCCTTCAACATAGTTTAAACATCCTAAAAATTTTTGTATTTGTTCTTTGGATTTTAATTCATTTGGAAAGCTTTCTATCTTTTTAGATATATGAGAGTCTGTAATTTTATTCCCTTTCTATTTATTGATAATCCCAGAAAATCTATTTCTTGTTTCTCGATTATAGATTTCTTTTTAGAAAGTACAATTCCTTCCTTTTTGCATTCATTTATGAATTGTAATAAATGATTCCTATGTTCTTTTTTATTATTAGAGCATATTAGTATATCATCTATATAAACAATAAGAAAATCACTAAACGTTTTGAATATATTATCAATTTTCCTTTGAAATATTTGTGGTGCATTTTGTAAACCAAATGGCATAACTAATGATTCATATTTTCCTTGAGGTATACTAAAAGCTATATATTGTATACTATCTTCTTCCATTTTCATTTGCCAAAATCCAGATTTACAATCAAATTTGGAATAATATTGTTTTCTTTTTGCAAGGTTTATTAGGACTTCTTTATTTGGTAAAAAGTAACCATAAAATTTAGTATATTTATTTAATTTCTTATAGTTTATTACCATTCTAGCTTTTCCTCTAATCTGCTCAAAATATTTCATAACCATAAAAGCTGGACTGCTATGAGGTCCATTGCTGGGTCTAATTAAATTTTGTTCTAATAGTTCTTTTATTTGAATTTTAAATTCTTGCATATCCTGTAAGGTATACATCATTGGTCTAACTTTTATTTTAACATTTTCCGTTAATTCTATTTTAGCTCTAGGGTGATATGGTTTCCAAAATAATAATGGATTTTCTCCATAAATTTTTTCTAATTGTTCTATGATTTTTTCCATACTTATTTCTATTTTTGTTTTTAGGATCTTTTTATATGATAGTTTTTTATTTTTTAGTTCATCTTGTACTATTGGTCGTTTTTCCCATTTATCACCACGTTAGGCTGGCTGAACTCTGTAGGATCTAAATTCTCTTGATATTTTTAATAGATGTGCACAAAGTGTTTGTAATATTATCATGTAATTATTTTGTTTATAGTATTGAAATTGTTGGATAAAGTCATTTCCTAATAATATATCATATTCTAATTTATTATAATTATATACTTTATTTATTATAACTTGTTTACTACGAAATATTATATTAACTTTTTCAGCACTATCAATTACTTGAATGCTTTCTCCAGTCATTCCTGTTATTTTTATTTTACCATTTTTATTCCATGATTTTATTAAGAAATGTTTAAAAATTATTATATCACTTCCTGTATCAATTAAGGCACAAGTTGTTATATTTGTTTCTACTATAGTAACTTGTATATATACTGCTAATGAAAAACTTATTTGATTATTCATCAACTTCCATTTTTACATAACGTAGTTTGTCCTTTATGAGTTATATATAACCCTTCTCTTTTTATACTATAATCTTCTAATCCATTTAAGAAACTCATTCCTAATAATATATGAGGTTCAATATCCATACTTTCATCCAAATAACATGGTACTAAAAAATCAATCCCGCCTATTTTTATTGGTACATTTACCTTTAATTATGTAATATATAGTTGTCCATCAAAATTCCTGTATTCATATGGTTCTGTTTTGTAAGTCATTAATCCTTCATTTTTAGTTGCAGTCATATGACATTCATCAGCACCTGTATCTATCAATATATTTGGTCCTTTTATATACCTCCTACAGTTGAAATATTTTCCTTCTATTTTTATATTTCCAATATTTTCATGAGATTTTATTTCTTTTATACCACTAGTTTCTCCTAAATACTCTTTATTATTAGGTAGTCTAAGACTTTTTGATTTCTTTATCAACCTTCCATTATGAAATGTTATTTTATAATCTTCTTCTTCTCTTAACTCTATTATTTCAGGCTTATTTTTAGTTATATTAAATTCATACTCTTCTGAAATAAAATTTATTTGTTTGTTTGGTTCCACTATTTTACTAATATCCTTACATTCCTTATGAATTTTTATGTATGGTTTATTAGAATAAATATTCTCATAATTAGAATTAGTAAATGTATATAATGCCCTATATTCCATAATCATAATTTGGTTTCCTGGTTCCATTATATCATTTCTATGTAATTTGAAATGTAATCCTAAAACTTCATTAAAGTTTTTATCTTTCAATGAAACACAATATTTTGGGTAACAAGTAAATATTAACTTTTGATATGCTAAATTTCCTTCTATGGTTCCTAAATGACCATCTTCAAGATTTATAATTCTTCCATCATGTAA